GTTTTAAAAATAAAACAGTTTCACAACAGAAGTGATGCTTTTCAGTTTGACACTTCAAAGAAGGCCTTTTGTAGACGGCTCCGTTTATCAGCCGCTTCTTTCTTTCTTTCGCTGAAGTTTTGAACTTGTAAACCAATGTTACAATGAACGTTAACAAATGTTCAGCTTTAGGTGTTTTTTAAAAATGAAAATTCCTCTCAAATTATCAAAATGCACACAGGAAGGTTGTTGGTAAGTAACTCTTAAAACCTGGTGAGTTTGAGAGTAAAATAAATTAATACAGTGAATTGTTGTTATTTTTTACACATATGTGTTGATTCCAAATAGTTTAAGCTTTTTCCCACTTGGAGGTTTGTTTTCTGAGAACGTGAAAGAATTTAGGTCAAGTATTGGAAAGATGGAATTTGTATACTCTTTATTCTGTTATCTACACTTTGCTGGCTTATTTGTACAAAACAAAACAGAAAGATAACAGGTTGAAACACAGGAGCATGACTGCATATTACAGAAAGAGGTGGCGGTAAAGCCAAAAAGCCCAAGAGGGAAATAACTAAGACAGCAATAAATTTAGACTTAATTTAAACATGGATTTCTTCCTTATAACACTTCCTTGTAGACCTGTCTGAGCACCATGCCTCCTTCAAGCTCTCCAGCTACTGTTTCATATACGTACCATATAAGCTGATGTGCAGTTTATGTGAAAAGCTTCAGTAATGACTTCGTCATGACTTCCACAGCTTCTCTTAACTTTGTCAGGGATGGTTCAGAGAGTTGAAATAGCAAGTTGGAAGTACTTTAATATCTTTTTATGGCCTTTGCCTCTTTTAGAAACATCAGTAAACTTTATTTTCTGACCCCAGGGTGGTTGTTGGGTATCATCAGTGTTTGAGGAGACAGAAAACGAATCATCTGGAAAGTCATCAGCTGATAATGATCCATGAAAGTCCTAGTGAGGCAATTAAGGCCTGAAACGTTAACAAAGGATTCCCAGTTGCAGTAATAGTGCACTAACGTTTAAAGAAAGGCTCATTTTGTCTCAGTCATCAAACTATTTCCCAACTATGTCCAAATATTTGCTTCCAGCTTAACATGCACACAAACATGTTGTGAACACAAACGGGAATAACGAGGATCTCAGCGTCTCTGCTGACCTCTGTTGGTGGTGACTTGGAAATGCAGCCAACTGGAAAATATCTCTAAAAATACTTAAATCTCCCTTTGTGAGACAGTCACACAAATTGTCTTCGGTTTTTCCTACAAAATGTTATTGGATGAGTGATTAATGAGTACACAACCAATCTAATTAACTGAGTTATACAGTTAAGTCTATAATTTGTTGGATAAATACACAATTGTGTAGTTTTGCCACTGTACAGATTTTAGAGTAACTGATCAGGAACTGGACTCATTTTATACACAGAGCCACATTTTCAGGTCCTCAAAACTAATTGGACAACCAGTCGACAGGCAGTTTCAGGTGAGGCCTCTTTCTTCATTTCAAACAAATAAAGTAAACATGATGTTTGAGCTTGATTCGAAGTGCTGAGTTTAGAGTGTAAAGCTTTTCTCCAGGATTTTAAATATGAGGATCAAAGAGAGACAAAAGACAACATCTGCTGCTGAGGAGGTCGGCATGTCATCATCTTGAGTTCACAACAAGGTGCAAACCACTGATTAAGTTCAAGAACAGGAAGGACAGGTAAGATAAGACAGAGATTAGCCACCTCATTGCATTTTCCAATCATAGGACAGACCTCGACAATAA